TGGGGTGGCATTGGGGTGGCATTGGGGTGGCATTGGGGTGGCACTGGGGTGGCATTGGGGTGGCATTGGGGTGGCAGTGGGGTGGCATTGGGGTGGCATTGGGGTGGCACTGGGGTGGCATTGGGGTGGCATTGGGGTGGCACTGGGGTGGCCTTGGGGTGGTCTTGGGTTGACATTGGCCTTGTCCATGGGGTGAACTTTTCCTTGGCCATGGGGTGGCTTTGGCCATTCCACTGACCACTGCCCTGACCATTGGGTGTCCATGGTGTGTCCGCGGTCACTCCCTGACCATTGCCATGACCGTGGTGTGTCTGTGGCGTGTCCGTGGCGTGTCCGCGGTCACTCCCTTACCATTGCCATGACCATTGCCATGACCGTGGCGTGTCCGCGGCATGTCCGCGGTCACTCCCTGACCATTGCCATGACCATTGCCATGACCATTGCCATGACTGTGGTGTGTCCGTGGCATGTCCGTGGCGTGTCCGCGGTCACTCCCTGGCCATTGCCGTGACCGTTGCCATGACCGTGGCATGTCCGTGGTGTGTTCATGGTCACTCCCTGACCATTGCCATGACCGTGGCGTGTCCGTGGCATGTCCGCGGCGTGTCCGCGGTCACTCCCTGGCCATTGCCATGACCATGGCATGTCCGGCCGCAGGTGGAGGTGTTCAACATCCTGTTCGTGACGAGCGAGACGGGCGGGCGCAACACGTACCTGGTGCACTGCGAGGGCTGCGCGCGGCGCCGCGGCGCCGGCCTGGCCGGGGTCGTCGTGCTCGAGCAGTACAAGACCGAGGAGCTGATGCAGATCTACGACGGCTTCACCCTGGTGAGGGGCGCCGGCGGCACCTGGGAGACACCTGGCACACCTGGGGGCACCTGGGGCACACCTGGGCACAGCTGGGGGCACCTGGGAGACACCTGGGAATACACCTGGGCAGACCTGGGGGCACACCTGGGGGCAGCTGGGGGCACCTGGGAGACACCTGGGAATACACCTGGACAGACCTGGGGCACACCTGGGCAGACCTGGGGGCACCTGGGGGCAGCTGGGGACACATGGGGACACCTGGGAGACACCTGGGCACACCTGGGCAGACCTGGGGCACACCTGGGCACAGCTGGGGGCACCTGGGAGACACCTGGCACACCTGGGCAGACCTGGGGCACACCTGGGCACAGCTGGGGACACCTGGGGGCAGTTGGGGACATGTGGGGACACGTGGGGGCACCTGGGGACACCTGGGGATACACCTGGGAATACACCTGGGGGCACCTGGGATACACCTGGGCACACCTGGGGGCACCTGGGGGCCACTGGGAATACACCTGGGCACACCTGGGGGCACCTGGGGGCCACTGGGATTACACGTGGGGGCACCTGGGGACACCTGGGGGCAGCTGGCACACCTGGGCACACCTGGGGACACTGGGGATACACCTGGGGATACACCTGGTGTGGGGTGACATGTGGTGTGGGGACACACTTGGCATGGGGACACACCTGGGGATGGGAAGACACACCTGGGGACACACCTGTGGACACTTGGGGACACACCTGGGGACATCTTGGCACACCTGGTGACACCTGGGCACACCTGGGCACCCCTGGTGACATCTGGGCACACCTGGACACACACCTAGGCACACCTGGGCACACCTGAGCACACACCTGGACACACCTGGGCACACCTGGGGACATCTTGGCACAGCTGGGCACACCTGGGCACACGTGGGCACACCTGGGCACAGCTGTGCCGGCGCCACCCTGGGGTGGGGACACCCCCGGACCCTCGGGGGGGGGAGGGGAGGGGAGGGGACACCTGCGGGTCCCCCCGTGACCCCTCCCCCGCCCTCCCCCCCCAGGTGACGCCGCCGACCCCCAGATGAGTCCGGCCCCCCCCAGGGCCCCCCCGGCGGGGGAGGGGCCCCCGCCCCTCCCCCCACGAACACTTTTTATTTATTGGCGGAGAAATCGCCCCAAAATCCGTCCGGTTTGGGTGGAAAACTCCGATTTTATACGAAAATCCCGATTTCTAGGAATTCCCAAAGCCCCTCCCCCGCCCGGCCCGCCAAGGGGGGGAGGGGCTTTCCCCTCCCCCACCCCCACATTTTGGGGGGGCTGAGAACTCACAGGGGGGTGGGGGGAGGGGCGCCCCTCCCCACTCATTTTGGGGGCGCTCGTGCCCCTCCCCCAACACAAGGGGGGGAGGGGCTGGAGGGGGGGAGGGGCACTTTTTTTGGGGGGGGGGTCGGACCCCTTGCCAAGATTCAACCAAAAACTCGCCCCGCCCCCAACAGCGCCCCTCCCCCCCATACGGGTCGGGGCCGGGGGGAGGGGCGCGGGGGGGGGAGGGGCAGGATTTTTTTTTGGGGGGGTGCCCCCCTCGCCCCTCCCCCCGCGCGGGGTGGGGCTCAGGTCTCTGGGGGGGGAGGGGCTCCCCCCAAACCATGGTGCAAAGGGGGGAGGGGCCTGTGCTACCCCCTCCCCCCCAAAAAAAGGGGGGGCGGCCGGAGCCCCCCCGCGGGGGGAGGGGCCTCGGGGTGCCCCTCCCCCCCTTCCCCGAGCCTCGTTTTTTGGGTTTTTTGCTTTTTTCTTTTTTTGGTTGTTTTTTTTTTTCCTCTTTTTTTTTTTTTTCGTTGGGTGGGGGGGGGAGGGGTCGCGTTATTTATTGGGGGGGTCGGGCCGGGGGTCCCCGACTCCCAGGGGTGGGGGAGGGGTCTGGGGGAGGGAGGGGGGGGGCGGTTTTTCGGTCACCGTGACCCCGGTGACCCCTCCCCCCCCCTTGTCCCCGTCACCCGGTGACCCCTGACCTTTGTGGGGGGAGGGGAGGGTCGTCACCCCTCCCCCCCCCGCCCCTCCCCCACCCCCATCATGGTGCTGGGCCCTGCGGCCGCCCCGCCCCTCCCCCCTCCCCGGCCCCCCTTCCCCTCCCCCCGCCCGGCCCCCGGTGCTGTGGGGGTGGGGGAGGGGCGGGTGCTCCCCCTCCCCGCCCCTCCCCCCCCAGAAGCTATTTTGTACCTGAGATTAAATTAATGGCAAAGCCCGACG